TTGGAGCCGCCCCCCCGGCTGCCTCATTCATGACTATTGTAGAGCTCGAGACGTAACGCATGGTGGCGAGGATGGGACCCTGGCCCAGGGGTTTGGGGCGCTAGTGGCTGGCTAGCCCAGCTAATGGGATAAGGGATGAAAGAAGATGGAGCGAGTGGAACCATGACGCACCACATGGGACGTGGCCTAACAGCACCACTCAATCTGCAGCCGAGGCCGTGGGCAAGATGGTGGGAACTGTGTTTCCCAAAGCCCCTGGGCATCGCAGATCGTCTGCGCCTTTACTAGCAGAACCAAGCGGGGAAGGAAATAAAGCCCAGCTAATGGGATAAGGGATGAAAGAAGATGGAGCGAGTGGAACCATGACGCACCACATGGGACGTGGCCTAACAGCACCACTCAATCTGCAGCCGAGGCCGTGGGCAAGATGGTGGGAACTGTGTTTCCCAAAGCCCCTGGGCATCGCAGATCGTCTGCGCCTTTACTAGCAGAACCAAGCGGGGAAGGAAATAATTCCAGAACCTGTGGCTGAGTTCAGGCCACTAACAGCATGGCCTCTTGGGAGCCAGTTTCGCTGACACACTAAGGGGCTGGCTAGTGTGTGGGGTGCCCCACGAACCAATGAGAGAACAGTGGTTGGCAGACGGCGCTGATCCTAAACTGGTGGCGAAGTTACCGTACCAATGGGCACAGCTTAACAAGGATGCCGGGGAGCTGCGACAGCAACTAAGGCAGGGGACGAGGAGGAAGCCCCGCCTGAAGGCCCCCCCCACCGTTATTTTTGTGTACAAAAGAGTCGTTCAGCGATGGCTGCATCAAGAACAAACACTCCAGCAAATGGGGCTTTCCAGATGAAACGTGCAGGTGAGTGCAGAGAACACAGCAGCCTGGTTCAGGAGGTACTGCCAGAGATTAGCGCCTGCAGCCCTGTGCAGATGGCAGCCTGCCGTCCCGGGAGGCTGATCCAGCATCCCCACCCCTGAGTAACGTGGAAGACCACACCGGATGGGTGTCGTTACAAGTGGAAGAAGCAGGACTTGCAATGGAGCCGTGTCTAATTTCAGAGCAGGATTAGAGGCAATACAAAGAGGTGATGTAGAAACTCCCACTAAAAACAGGGAGGGGAAAATCTTCATTTCCTGAGTTATTCAAGTGAAAGTAACAGCCAACTGTAAACAGCCTCCACGCAACAGCCGCCCGCGTTGTAAAGAGCTGCACTGTCCGGACAGCGACAGCCCCTCTGACACAATGGCCAGAGAGGGTGCTGGTTCCCCAGCCTGCCCCATGGCTTTTGATGAGGCAATAAAGTTTGGAGTGTCCAAAGGGGCCCTTCCGTACGCGCATCGTGCCTGTAAAATCAGTGGTGATTGCCCCTGTGAGAAGAGCCGCAACCCAACTGCTCCATTTTCACACGGCAGCAAATCTCCATAGAGACGCCCCTTTGGTAACGGATGGAGACCCGATGTGACACATCATAGACCGGTCCTCCGCCTTGTCTGGCCGCGTGACCCCGGGCATGCTCCGGAGCCGACACGGCTCACGCTCTGCAGGCTGGCCCACACCAGCGATGCCTGTTGAAAACACAGAGTTTCAACACAGGCCCGGTACCTTGTGACTGCCCCAGTGCGTAAGGGACCAGGGGGTCGGCAGTCTGGCCTAGTGGTCACACAGCTGGGCTGAGGCCTGCTCACCAGAGACTGGAGTTGCATCACAAGGCCAGGTCCTGTAGACAAGAACCAGGGTCAGAGTTGGGCGGGGGCTGGAGACAGGAGATGAAAGGTGTCCCAGGTTAGAACTGAGCCAGGGTCAAAGGCAGGCTGGAGTGGAGTCGCAGCCAAAGTCGATGTGGTTATCCAGACAGCTTCCAAACCAGGGAGGCATTGCTGGCCTCGCACAGGCCTTCTGCCAGGAAGTGCGGATCCGTGGGTGGGGATGCCTGCGAGTGGGCCAGATGCCCTTCCCACACGTGGCTGGTAGCGCCGGGTGTGGCCATTTGGCCAGGGAGGGAATTTTGGGTTGTCACTGGAGCTGCGGGCAGAAGCCCTGGGCGTGCAGAGTCAGACCCCTGGCCAGCGGGTGTGTGAGCTCGCCAGCTCGTGCCCTAGAACACGCCAGAGATGTAGGGAGTTGTAGGATGGAGCCAGAGCCGGGACCCTCGCTACCCCGAGCCCGGCGGGATGCCAGCCGCCAGGGTCACAGTGGCTG